ATTCGCCGAAACGTCAGCTTAATCGTGAACAAAGAATAGTAACACCTCGCGTTTGCTCAACAAAAATACGAAGAAAATCACTTGATCAATGCCGAGGTTAATAGAAAGTCGGTCGTGGCAGTATTCCTCTGAATTTCACAAAAATTATTTGCGAAAATACTCCACGTATTCAAATTTAATGACATTTGTGCTTACTTCAAGAAGCGAGTAGCGTAGTGGTACAAATTTTGCCCAATAAACACATGGCCATAGCTCAACTCCGCTCCAGACGAAGCACACCTCTGAAGTCAGGAAATTAGTACCGCACTTGTCTGGGAGGAACTCCTTTTAAGAAGGCCGGCGAATAACTGTGGTGAGAGCCTGCGAACACCGTAGAAAAGCTAAGACAGGATTTCAGGGCGAATAAACTTAAGCAACATTCAACGACGTTTATTAAGAGCAAAATGCTTAACTCTTCCGAATCATGCAAATGAAAGAGGGGATCCGGAGCTCCAATGGGTCAACGATCAAAAATTAAAGACGCTGCTCTACACGACAAATTGTCAAAGATGGGGTAGGCCGGGCAAGTAATTCGAATGAATGACATCATGTGTATAGGAGCCGTTATCGAATGAATTCCTCTGGGTGGCAAACGCACGGCAGGAAGACCACCAATGCGATCGTCAATGTTCTTAATAAACACACTAGAAGGAGTATATAAATGACACTCAACGAATCTCCAGAGCGAGCAAAACAAACTGAGCTGCTCTTGCAGGCGACATGGAAAAATGGAAGGTGTATTGGCGCCCGCTTGAGTCACACGACGATCGACAAGACGGCGGGTGACGCAGGTGACAATGCTGCAAACGACTTCCTCCAACCGATTTGCTTTTTAAACAGCTATCATCGGATGTACATGCTGGTGATTAACAACGTATTATCGAATTTCTTTTTTGGGTTGAAGACGGAAGTTGACCAAGCGAGGTGACGGAACCTCATATAAAGCCTACAATACAGATATTTCGTGGCGACATTTTTTCTCTACGAATTGAAATAAACATTTGATTTGAACAATTGAACTGCGTTGATCTTCATGCTTTTAGCATCATCCACGGCTATCAAGAAAAATGTGATGTGGTGTACACCTTCTAGGACGGCGTGGAGACCTGCATCAGTAAACGACTGTTCTGTTGTTGCCAGCAAAACACTGAGCAGTTCGTGGAATGTTGTTGTGGTCACAATGAAATTTTATCGCACCCTAGATTTCATCGCATCGTCTTTCAGTGACTGTTTTATTGTTTAAATGGTAGGTAGAAACTCCCCACTTATCACTAAATGGGCCGCCTCATCTGTTATTCAACCGATTCGTTTTCTGCTATCACGAATTAGCTTTGCTAGGGCGTTCTCAAGTCGCTAGCATAGGCAGTTACTGGATCTTATGAATCGAAGAAAGAATTTGCACCTTCTAACAAGGTTTCTATAAGAAAGGCATTGATTATTGGTAACGGCTGATCTTCTAGATAGGAATAGTTAACGTACATCAATGTGCTTAACCTTGCTTGGTGGATCAACGATAGTAATTTCGCAATTCGACACCTCAGATATTGGGATGGGCTCTGGCTGAAGGCATTAAGTGATTGGATGTCAAAAATTTTTTTTGAAAATTCGGCAACAATCTCGACCTTGTAAAGGTGCTTCTATACGATGTTGAGCAAGTTTTTTTTCATTCCCAAGGAGCCAACCCTCTGAAGACAACCACAATGGTGCTGAGATAATTGCGAAACCCATACCCCAGAGCAGATTCGTATACTTGATTACCCTTTCTGGGAGCTAACGTGTTACCTATGGCAGCACTGAGAACATTGATTTGCCTTTCCGTCAACTAGTTTTTTTTTCATAATAACGGTGCCATCAACAATCACACATCAATGGGAATGATCTGGATGCCATCGTTAGGGCATGAAACTGGCTGAGAGAAATGCAAACCAGGGGCCTCAATAGTGCAGTGGGTAACACGTGAGAACCCCGCAAAGGTAATCCCGGGTTCGAGTCTGGCCTGGGATGAGTTCTAAAAATATCTCTGGTTGTATGAAATGCTGAGATATTTGCAAAACTCCGGACCGCAGCTGTATGCAGTGGAGAATGAACACGCGCTGTTGTCCTTACCGGGGAGCAGCGCACTTCACCACTACACCATCCGGGTCCTTCGCTTTGCATGTATCTCAGCTAGTTTCCGGTCCACCCGATAATTAAACGTTATCGCGTACGAAANGAGATATTTGCAAAACTCCGGACCACAGGTGTATGCAGTGGGGAACGAACACGCACTGTTGTCCTTACCGCGGAGCAGCGCACTTCACCACTACACCATCCGGGTCCTTCGCTTTGCATGTATCTCAGCTAGTTTCCGGTCCACCCGATAATTAAACGTTATCGCGTACGAAATGGCGTCTTTGTTTCAGTATTTCAGATAGAACTAGCTGAGATACATGCAAAGCGAAGGACCCGGATGGTGTAGTGGTGAAGTGCGCTGCTCCCCGGTAAGGACAACAGCGCGTGTTCATTCTCCACTGCATACACCTGTGGTCCAGAGTTTTGCAAATATCTCAACATTTCATACGAGTTATAATTCGAAACATAACCTGCCATTAAGAAGAAAAAGGCAGTAAATAAAAGAGTTAAGATTGTGATTATCTCTGGTTGTGTTTCTCATAATACTCTGCAGAGAAAAAAAAATAGACAATAAATAAAAGTTATGCAGGGTGGTCTTTTTGATGACCTCTTTCCAATTTATTTAACACAGCTCAATGAAAAGATCCAGAGGTTGCTTGCAACCTATCGCCCGTAGTGGTTTACGCCTACTGTTTCAGATCGTTTCACGAGAGAGCAGAGTGGTAAGGTCCATGTTTCTATCTTACCGTAACCAACGTCATCCACTGGCTTAACTATGAAGCGCGAGTACTGTTTTTCATCTAACTTTGCTATGAAAATTATGATATACTCGCTGCCAGTTTCAATCTGCTGCTGGATACAGTTCATTTTATCCCAGTAAGAGAATAATTAGGGGACCAATACGCGAGGTGGACCACTGAGCAATTGCGGCTATTATTTCTGGCAAATAAATGTCTCTTTCCAATATTTCTGCTCCATCAGGATTGTATCGTGCTTGGGCTTTTGTTACACTCTTCTCCTCAACGGAAAAACAATCAGAACCAAAATAAAAAGAAAGGGAATCAATACTGAGGTTTCATAAGATAAAATGAATAATTTTGTTGCAGATCCGCGATCGTGAAGCAATTCAGAAGTCGTGTACGACGGCTGACGACTGACATTGGTAATAAGGGTTTATCAAAATTGACATACGGTGAGTGAGAGAGCATCTAGGTTAGATACTCACGGGTGAACTGACACGTGGCGAGAACTGGTAGGCTATAAAAGATTCTACAGAATTTGTCTACCATCTTTAATGCGATATCACCAAAGTTGTACATTCGAGCAGAAATGGCTGAGTATTAGTCGAAGTCGATTTATTTGCCCTTTTATGTTGACGATGCAGAAAGGCGACTACTGCACAATTTTTTCATATCGCATGATACTTTATCCCCCTAGTTGTTTAAAATCCATAAAATTCATAAAGTGCTTGCAGACATAAATGAACGAGAGCTCCGTCTGATCACTGCAATGACTGAAGATCTGCATCTGATTCTGCTCGAATGCCCGAACATTAACACACCGGCCGACGTCGCACAGCTTAACATGGCTCCAATACTGTTTCTGTTCAGAATCAGAGATCGTAAGGTGAATTAAAATGCTGGAGTACATCGTCAGTAAAAGTAGTGCTCAAGTAAAAAAAAACGATCGTATTCAATACTTCATACCATATTAAATTCTCAAAGGTTTTCTTAGATCCTGCTAAAACTTTTCAAAAAGACTGGTACTAAGGGTGGAAGGGCAATCGCTGGTGCTGATATTCTGAACCAACTTACTGCTGACCAGGTGATCAGGCATCCACTTCCTTTTCAAAAGCTTCCAAAAGGTCCTACTTTTAAGGTCGACATTATCATCGAAGAAAACGGTCTGCAAGAGGCTACAAGGAAAATCTTTAATTTCTTAGAGGCATATTGGCTAGCATTACATCCTACGACACCAATTCTCGAAGACGAATACCTCGAAGGAACCAAAGAGAATACGAAATCTGAAAAAACATAGAAGATTGAAAATAATTCAGTAAACTAGTATGTAGTCATAATATTTAAGCAAATTGTGTCACCACAACTGTTCCTTTCTTGTTAAACTCGCTTCGAGATAAAGTTTGTGAAAACGTGGTACTAAGCGCGTAGAAAAAACTACTCAAAGGTGCAGTATTGCACAATGGGAGTTCATTCTTTATTAAGACGCATTAGTTACTTTGATAGTTGATGGTCACCTGATAGCATAACGAAGGGTGGAAATACGAATCAAATTCATCATTTATGCCAAAATACTTGCTTATATACTTGGATGGCCCGTCTTCACTGGTTGTGTGGCCCCAGCATAATCATTGTTTTTCTCGCAGTTTTGCTAGTCTAACCACTGCGGTTCCCTGGAGTCCCGAGGTCAGCCTGGCCAAGGTTTGCCCCAGGTCGGTCGTCACCACCACAGGCAGTTGACGATTTTGTGGATCAGAGAGAGATTTGTCACCATGCGACCAGTTGCACACCAGGACGGTGGTGGTTCCTGGTATAGATTTACTCTTAGCTAGGCTTCTTAAAGGAAACGCGGACCTTTTTCAGTTTGGGAAACCCTGCCGGAGACGAATCCACCAACTGAACATCGCAGCCCGAAACTCAGGAACACCTCCTAGCCACGATGAAGTGGTAAACCGTTGGGAGGCATGTGAAAATAATGTCAGAAAATCCGGCACTTAACTTAGGACTAGTTATCATCACATTAAAACTGTTTCAGAACACTAGTTCAACAAGGTAATAAATACGTCAAAGTGAGCGAATTACAAACAAGGCAGAAAATAACGAGGCTGACTTCCTGGGTCCTTGTTTTTGATGAAAACCACATTCCGTTGGCTTTCGTTTCACCGATAGCATGCATTCAAGATTCGACTCAACAAATTTCCACAATGACATGCAAGAACTTTTTCCAACAGCTAACGTGATTAAAGGCTGACCTTCGACTCTTTCGCATGGTTGATACTAGTAAGTGAGAATCCAATCTCTAGGTATGGAGTTTTTTCATTCTTTACAGTCCATCGCCTCATCGAACCAGTGGGAATGCTGCTGGACGTCGAAGCGGAATTCACATACGGGAGACCATTCCGAAGGCAGGAGACCCGAATTAAGGTGTTCGAGATTTCCATCTAGTACTCTGTTAGTTAAGACAGCTGCAACATCAATTTATCAAAACTCACGTGCATAGGGCAAGCTCAGAGAGTATTAATGTTGAAAATATTAGGTTGCTTAGAAATAAACGAGCTTTTCAAAGTATTTATGGCTTTAATGAATTTTTTACCAATAAAATACCCTTTGTTCCTTGAAATGTTATAATTTTATATTCGTTCTGACTAGGCCTTTATATCTTGTCAAAGGTCAAATTTCTTTTTTACAAATTTTGAGCTTTGCAATTTTAGATGTCAAAAACGAATTTTCGTCGGATTTTCTTTTATGAGTTCAAACTCGGTCGTAGTGTAGCAGAGACGGCTCGAAGGCTCGAAGCAGTAATGAAGTATGGGGTGTAGGTACTCTTGGCGAATCAACACTGCGAACATGGTTCCGGAAATACCGATCTGGTGATTTCAACCTCGAAGATAAGGAAGGCCGCGAACGTCCCAGTGAACTTGACGACGACGAACTGAAGGCACCAGTTGAAGCAAACACTCGAACAAGTGTTCCAGAGTTTGCAGAACAGCTTGGCATAAGCACAGGAACAATTTGCACTCATTTATTTATGTGGTCCTATAAACTGATCTTCTTAAGCTGACGCGAGGTTGGTACAGATCTTCGTTGTCGTTGTCGTTGTCGTTGTTTTTTTTGATGTTATTGAACGATGGCTGACGTTTTGGCGACTTCGCCTTCCTCAGAGCCTGGACGTACTTTATGTTAGAATACTTTTTATTATTCGGTGGAAAAGAAGGTTAAAGTATTAGTGAAGATCAAACTTTCAAATAGACGCCATATTGAACAGAAAGGCCACTCACCGTGATGTTACGTGCGGGACTGGCCGACACGTAGTTCACGCGAGCAAGACACGCCCCGGGGTCAAAATATCATTTTGAAATAAGGCGCCAGGTCACGCGTGATAGTGAGGCATTCGTCCTTCCGGTTCATCTTTGGATTTTTGAAATTTATCCAAAACGCCTCAAGAGTTTTGCGCGTTGATGTTTTTGATTCCTGCGCTAGGATCCGCACATTCACTTCAAAATCATCGCCGTTGTGCATTTGTGCCCTATGCGTACATACGGTGAGTGGCCTTTCTGTTCAATATGGCGTCTATTTGAAAGTTTGATCTTCATTGATACTTTAACCTTCTTTTCCACCGAATAATAAAAAGTATTCTAACATAAAGTACGTCCAGACTCTGAGGAAGGCGAAGTCGCCGAAACGTCAGCCATCGTTCGATAACATCAAAAAAACAACGACAACGACAACGAAGATCTGTACCAACCTCGCGTCAGCTTAAGAAGATCAGTTTATAAGATCACATAAATAAATATATCAACTATCTATGCCGAGGTTCATAGAAAGTCGGTCTTTCGAATTTGCACTCACTTGAATCGCATAGGATAAGCAAAAAAGTGGGTGCCGCAAGAATTAAACGACAATCAAAAAATCGCCGTTTTGAAGTAACGTCCGCTCTTATTCTGCTTAACAAAAACGGCCCTTTTCTTCAACGAATTGCGACGTGCGACGAGAAGTGCCTTCTATACGACAACCGGCGACGTTCAGCTCAATGGTTGGATTACGATCAGACGCCACAGCACTTCTCATTGAGGACGGGCCGTTCAAGCATCAAGTAAGTAGTGTTCCACATGGTGGAGGTTCATACGAACGATTTTAATTAATTGGTAAGACCCACTCTTCATTAATACGTTTTGAACAAGAGAACCAGCTTCTACATCGCACAACTTTAATGTTAGTCCTGTGAGATCATTAAATCTTCCGTGGAGCCAGACTCTAGTGATCCACTACCAAAAACAACATATCGTTCAAGCAAACAAGCAATGGAAGCTGCTCCCTACTCTTGGTCAAAACGATAACACCATTGCTGTATCTTTTCATTCAACAGTATTCATTGTCATCTAGAAAAAAGATAATCTCGCAAGTGGCAGAGGGGTTAGGATGCTCCGTAATGTGCACTGGATCGGTCGCTGGTTCAATCGCGTGCTCTGGACTCACCAAGTCCCACTATCCATCCAGGGTGAACTAATTGCTACCCGATTTCTCTGCGAGGATAGAAACACTGACCCAATACGTTGGTGGGCCATCAGAAGTCACTGAAGGGCTAGATATGCATTCAATCACCTCTACGATAGTTGATGAAGACGAATACATGGCGCCTCTCCCAGGGATTGATCAACGTCGAATGCTCTATCCCCTACTCTATAAAAAAAGATCTTTCACGTCAAATCTCATGTAATCTTACTTCAGAAAATTATTTCATTGGGCCCTACATATGATGTCATTGACTGAACCTATATTTTCCTTAAATACCGACTCAACTATACGGTGGAAAAGAGTGTTCCCACTCAAACTCGTGTCGTGCTCTTCAATCAAGCTGGAACGAGAACTTATAGATACGAAACATCCTTAGGATAACTAACATTAACTAACATGTCGAAAAATGCCCCATAGAAGATAAAGAGCTGTTTCTCAAACAACTTCACAGGTGAGCTGAACACGGCAGCAATATATTTGAGAAATGAATGAACCTCAGACTCCGACTACGGGACAACTCACTTGTAATAAAATGCGATCTGTTGAAGAACTTTAAAGGAATTATACTGAAACATAAATTATAATTCTTTCCACTGCTGCCCAGCAAACACGAGGTGCTATTCCACTTCCCCACTCACGTAAAAAACAGAAGCTGAACAGAAGAAGAAAGAACAGAAGAATCTTCTTCTTTGCTGAACAGAAGTGGAAAGAATTGTTCAATCAATGCCGAGGTTAATAGAAAGTCAGACGTGGGAGTTACTATAAATTTATTTTAATAATATTTAATAATATAATATTTATATAATATTAATAATTAATTATAATACTTGTATTTAACATCAATAATTATAATAATACTATATAATTATAATATTATACATAAACATTACCTGGAACATTAGGAGAAACGACGTAATTCATGGCAACCAACAGAAGAAAGTATGGAAAAATAGCGTCTAGACCACCACGACCAAAATACTGTCCCATAGGTCTCGTTCGAGTGAGATGAAATCTTCGGTGGTGAGAAAGAACTGGTCATGGTGAGATTGCACTCAATTCCCTACAACTATTTAATCACCATTAAGAAAGCCAACCCAAGCTCTTCCCATAAAGTTTGTTCGAATCACAAAACGAGGACTTTGACAGTACCACAGTTATAGACAAACATTTTTTAGGAGCAGAAGGTCATCCAAGGTACAACTCAATGACGAATTATTTTCAAAGACGAGATGAGAAAAACAACAGATCAAAGATCCATAGAATCACAGATTATGAGAGAGAAGTGCGATCGAGAACATCGTCAGAACTGTCGAGCTTGGGGAACCTCTCATCACAAAAGGGATCTTCTTATGCTGCACGTTTGCACTTTGGATAAGCCCAATGCTTGAACAAACTGTATTTCAACCGAGTCCTGTCGTGTAGAGTGCACTCGAAAACTTCTCCACCAACAGAAATGGTATTACTCGCACAACCTCTTCTCCAAATGCACTCCGCTGTATAGTAAAGATGTCCAATTCCAACGAAAAGGCAACAAGTTGTTATAAGGTTCCTCCCAACATTTTGTCACTCAGAAAATATGGTTACTTTCCTTTCAAAAAACAGAAACAGATGGCATTTAGCGATTCTATTTGTAACCCCGTGAAGAACCGAGTTAGCCGAGTGGTCTCTAACCACGTTACCATTGTCCTGCCACTAAAACTCCGTTAACACTCCAACCCGTCACGTCGACGATCAAACACGTTACACAAGAAACTTTATTATGGAGTTTTCTGAAGTACAAACACCGAATATTAAGTTAAATTTGCAAAACAGAATCTCAGAATCCTGTCTTCTGTATCCAGAATCTATAGTAGTATGGCTGGTCGAATCACTAAAAGCTTTTGGCATTGATCCATACATAAAGGACACGCGATGAATTCGATTCCATCGAGTGTCGTAGAGGTGACAGAATGTATGTGTAGTCCAAGGAATGACCTCCAGAGCCTAACAAGCTATCAGGTCGGCTTGCCCATATCGCCTAGAAAAGTCGTAGCAATTTCACGACCACGGCTCGGATCAACGGCTATAATCGTTACAGCGCAACGAACTGCTTCAACGATTAACGTTGTATGGATAAAAAGAGAAGAGATATTCCTGGATCTGCACGACTTCTAAAACAATGTCGCGGGTCTCTTCAGGTGTGTGGGGACAATTTCGATTAAAGTATTCGAATCTGAGGGGCCGTGGTTACACACGACTTTGGTAATTTTACGTCAATAATTGTGTGGTCTGTTAACATTAGCGACGAGGCTGATAAACTAATGTCTTCCTCGTTTTGCAGTTTGGTTTTGTTGTTGCCATGCGTATTTTTGAAATCACTGCTCGTTGTTGTATTGAAGTGTGTGTCGAACATAAAAGAGCCAGAAGGTTAACAAATATGTCCTTCAAGTGTAGAATATTACTAAACGTATTGTTTTCAGGCGGTGAAATATGCCAAAGAAATTTGCAAATGAAAACCCGAAAGTCATAGCTGCTCGTGAGCGTAAAGCTGCTGCAAAAAAGGATGAGGAAACTAAGAAACAGAAGGTTAAACACTGCGTTCTACCCGCTTAGGTTCTTATTGGCTGTGTTTTCAGGCCCTGGAAGATGCTTATTGGGCTGACAATGATAAACTGGTGAATAGGAAACTCCAGAGGAAGGTAAGTCGCGGTTCTTTTTATTGTTGGTTTTTAGGCTATTCTGTACAGTTCATAGGACGAGGAAGAACGAAAGCGAGCAGAGACTTTAAAGCGTAAGGAAGAAATTCGCAGGCTTGCGGAGGAGGAAATGAATGGCCTTGCATCGAAGTCACCTAATGCCCAACCGCAGAAAGTTACGAGGTGATATATTGCTCTGGTCTTCTTTTGTCCATGGTGGGTATGTTATCCTTCGTTTTTAGAATTATTTTCTTTAGAGCCACCATTGAACAACGGAGAGACGGCGAACTGCGCTTACAGTTAGAAGAAGATAAGCGTTTGAAGTTAGCTGCTGAAAAGATTGAGGTGATCGTATCTTATATAGAAATGTTTCGTCCTAATACGGACGAATATTTCCCCAATTGTTGGTTGATAGGGGTTAGAGGCACGTTTAGCGCAGTGGTTAGAGGTGCCCTACAACACACGTGGAATCGATCCTCACACCCATGGCCCATCAAGCTTCCTATCCCTCCGGGATCGGCAAATTGGTACCAGACATGTCTGAGAGAGTAGCAGCACTGGCTCGATACATCGGTAGGCCACCGCAAGACATCGTAAAGGCCAGATATGCATTCATTCACTTCCAAACGATGCTTAATGAAGTCGAATGCATGGCGCATCCCCCAGGGATTGGTCAACGCCGAGAGCTTCATTTATCTCTTTTTTAAGTTTTTTTCATCTCTTTTTGTCATTTGATCTCGCACTTCTATTGGTTTCCTTCCTTACCACTTTATAGTGGAGAGTTGGAGCGCAACTGTTTGTTAATGTTTACAAACAAGTGTTTTTTTAAATGGAAAACGCTTTGTATGTAAGGTATTTTCTGAAACTTTTATTGCCCTAGTGAGTAAAAGAACATGTGAGCAGAGGGAGGAAGGGAGGAAGGGAGGAAGAGGGGAGTGGGAATAACACATCAAGATTTCAAGTGTGAAATCTGTCGGCGACGGCCTATGTTTTAACTTGAAAATAGGTACTATTATTTGTATACTAAGAGCTCAGGTGTTGTTAGTTTTGAAATTTCTTGAGTTTCTTAGTGGTAATCCAGCTCATTGCTTCTGTCGATTTCCCTTGTTCTCACTTTGGTCGGTTATAATTTTCAGGCTTTTCAATCTTAGTTTTGATAAGACTCTCCTTAATATTTCTGCCTTATATTATCGTCTTGAAGGTAGTTGATCATCTGGAAGAGAACTTGAATCAGTTGGAATTGGACAAGGAATCTGCAAGGACGGTATCCGACGCCATTCGAATACTGGGCGGCGACCGCGAGGACATCGACAATCATCCAGAGAAGCGAATGCGTGCTGCTTATCTCGTATGTTTCACTTATGTTATTTCTTGTGCACTATATTGTTTTCTTTTCTTTTGCTGTCTTTAATATCTGTGGATTTACCTAACAGTTCATTATTGTGATTAGCTTAAACGCATAGTTTTGTTTTATCTTGGTTCATAGATTTCTATATTTCACTCCTCTCAACTGTTTACCGCCTCATCGTGGATGGGAGTTGTTCCTGGGTGTCGGGCTGCGATGTGCAGTGGGGGTTCATCACCCTAGAAGGTATCCCAAGCGGAGAAGGAGTGCGGCGTTTCCATCAGAAAACTCAGCTAGTCGTAAACCAAAACCAGGATCCGTCACCCTCCTGGTATCAGACTAGTCGCATGGTGGCAAACCTCCCTCTGATCCACAACGGCAGCGACTGCCTATGGTGGTGACGACCTGGCCCAGACTTTAGGCAGGCTGACCTCGGGACTGGAGGGAAATAATGGCTAAGCCAGCAAAACTCCAAAAAAAATGGAGATTATGCTGGGTTCCGTACAGTCAGTGAGGACTACCCATCTAAGTATATTTCACTTCATTCTTTACCTGAGAACATTTTTGTCACATGTTATGAAAATTTTTTATCAGTGCATCACTTGTTCAGGCATTCGAGGAAACTAGGTTGCCACGTCTCAAAGAAGAACATCCGACCTATCGTCTCTCACAATTGAAGCAGTTACTCAAGAAAGAGTGGCAGAAATCTCCTGAGAATCCAATCAACGCCAAACTTATGGCTTTGGCTGCGAAATAGAAGGCGTGGGACGGCTACTAGTCTACTATCATTTTTGGAAATAAAATTTTTGGGTCATTGTGAATAGCACCGTATATACATATATATACATGTACTGTATATATTTTATATATATATATATATATATATATATATATATATATAGTTTCTAAGTCTATCTCGACTTTGATCCTAAGACAGCCTCCATAGGTCGTATTATGGGTCATCTCTAGGTCATTATATTACAAGACAAAGATGTGATGTGTGAAAACTTTCTTCATTAAAATATTTTTACTTTCCGGTATCTTTCAAATATTTGGGTAAGGATGTACCACTGTGATGCTTGACATGCCATCATTGCATTTCTTTCTTTCTAGTAAGGTTTCTTCGAAAATCGAGTTTCTTCGAATTATCATGATTGTGATGGCACTGATTTTTACGTTTTGAAGACATTATGAATCCTATAGACACATCTCTCAGATGGTGAAGGTGTACATTGGTAGAGAGTGCTCAGAGTATACATTGGATGAGCTTAACTCGCTTACCGTTCGAGATCTTGTTCAGAAAATTGCGAGACAAGATGCTGACCGTTCAGGTGTGGCTACTCATCTCTTTGTTTGATTTAGTACAACCTTCATCTATTTTTCAGTTCTTAGTCTTACTGGTCGATTTTTGCCCATGGACACGCGGCTGAGCTCACATAATATTCGGGACACTGACACGCTTCGTGTACTTCAAAGTGATGTTGGACCGAAAGTGAAGCAGGTGACTTTAAATGACTCCTCTTCCTTTTGTGGGTTGTTGTAAAATGAAAATCCCATAGTTTGCAGTACAATACTGGTTTAGTGACATCTGTGTACTAGTTTTGAGCGAGTTTTTTTTTCATTCACATATCCGCAGACATGTGACGACTCGATGCTAAAGGAGTGTGATCGATTATTTGACTATTTGCAAAAGGAAGAATCTGGATATGTAAGTTCTTAGTTCGTGTTTTGAATCAGTATTGGGCCGTCGTACTGTGTTCGTATTCATTAATATATTTTACTCAATATTTATCAGTTCGATCACCCCTCACCCAACGTTACGTTACCGCAGTAGGGTTGGATTTCTACTAGTTCCTTATGATACGCTCTGTTATAAAAAGTTTACGGCTTTTGAACTATTATATCTTATACACTACTAAGTTCTCTTTTAACAGCGTTCTTCAGATATCCCTTTAGATGCACATGCGTCTTATGGCAGAGGTTGTAGAGCCGGAATTCCTCTCGAAAATCATGAAACAATTTCCCGAACTTCGTAATGATCCGGTAGCTTGTCACGTTCTCCATGACTACTACATCTTCAAAGCCATGGTAACACTACCTGGTGGTGATGAGGAAGCGCTTGAGAAGGTAAAACTCCGTGTTTTAGTCGAAAGAAGAGTGCTAATAGTACCACAATGTTGCTGAGATATTTGCAAAACTCTGGACCGCAGGTGTCTATGGTGGGGAACGAACGCGCTATTATCCTTTCCGGGGAGTAACGCGTTCACCACCACACCATGCGGGTCCTTTGTTTCGCACGTCTCTCAGCAACATTGTGGTTGTATTTCGCTTAGTAACCTGCCATGAAAATTATAGAAGGCAGAAAACAAAACGTTAAAACATTGTGATTTCAACTACAGCCATAGCTTAACTGGGTTCTATGCCGATTTGCGCTCCCCAGATCAACCCCGCTGACGGGTGATTGCTGTGGCAAAAAGATCAATAGAAATAGCTGAGAGACGTGCGAAACAAAGGACCCGCATGGTGTGGTGGTGAACGCGTTACTCCCCGGAAAGGATAATAGCGCGTTCGTTCCCCACCATAGACACCTGCGGTCCAGAGTTTTGCAAATATCTCAGCAAC